TTGCCCTCACTGTTCTCATAGACCCTTTAACCCTCACTGACCTCGCTGACCCCATACCCCTCACAGACACCATACCCCTCATAGCCTCCATAACCCTCACAGACCTCAGATCCCATAGCCCTCACTGCCCTCATAGCACCCGTGGACCTCACAGACCTCACAGCCGTCAGGGCCATCACAGCCCCCACAGACCTCTCAGCCCCTCACAGCCCCCAGAACCAGGGGGTGTCTGGGCACAGCCAGAGCCTGAGCAGACACCTCACTCATCCCCAGGTGACAGTATCGTGGTGTGGCCATGCCAGATGTGCCCTTCCTGCCCTTCTGCACCCTCCTGGGAATCCTGGGCTTGCTCTGCGTGGCCCTGGTGGGCATCTGGTGCCAGCACTGGTGGGGTTGCTTTTGCCTGGATGGTGGTACCCAGACATTCAACCGGCACTTGATGCTGATGTTTTCTATTTCACAGGCGGGGATCACATTTCTTTTGAGGTGTGGGGTCATAATTCCTCTCTTGGGTAGGGAAATTAATTTTGAATCCACACGTTGGTTGGTCTTGGTGAATTTATTTGCTTTTCCCAGTATACAGTGCTATCGTTTGAACTGCTGTTGCTCCAGTGGGAATGGAAAAGCCAAGCTCCAGAGCTTTTTGTCCTGGTACCTTTCTGTCCTGACACGTTTCGGTTGAGAATTGTGACAGGACGTTTTCACCTTCGGAGCTGCATTTTGGGTTGGTTGTTATGTACACACCGCCACCTCGTGGAGCTGTTGAACAGCCACAGTGGGAACGTCAACGTGTCCTTGAAAAAGACGGAAATGTACCGGGCTTATCCAAATGTGAAGATCCAAAGTTGAAAACGTCCTCCCTTGCTGCCAAAGAAAATGTGCCAGAACAGAAGAATTTCACCGACCTTCCCTTCCATTTGCAAACTTGTATTTGCACCACAAGCAAGTGGGAGTTACTTTTCCTTGCAGCCTGAAAACTGCACACACCACCACGGTACACGGCACTTTCAACCTCGGCTGTATGTAGCGTGATGCACTTTCAGTCTGGCAGAGTCCAAAAGGTCCATCTACTTCTCACATAGGAAAACATGTCCAGCAAACTGCTCCATGGAAACTTTGAGGCTTCAGCAGAACCACCAAAGGCCAAGGGGACTTAGGGCACTTTCTCTTCTCACTGCACACGTGGGCCAAGTGTTGCTGAGCACAAGGACCCTTTTTCCCTCTTCCCCAATGCCCTGTGCAAACTGGGCACCAAAAAACCCTCCTGAGCCTCTGTCTGTGACAACAGGAATTTTTTATTCTCATGCTGTGGTAAAGGAAAGTGCTTGCAGAGAAGGGGTCTTCCTCGCAGGCTCACGTGGTCCCAGCACACATAGCTTCCCACATCAACTCTCCACAGAGCTCTGGCAGCACAGAAACTGCTCTGCAGAGCAGGTCTGAAACACCAGGCTTGAGTTAGCGGGGCTGATGTCATTCTTCATACGTCCAAGGGCTGGAACAGGGAGGAACAGAGCCAAGGTCAGAACCTAGATCTGTGGGGACCTGAGAAACCCCTCCAGCCAGGGTCATCCCACCCGTGGCACTGTGTGTGGTGCCCCATGCACAGGCAGAATTGACAGGGGCAGTGGGGACAAGGGGGTCTCACCTGGCCAGCAGACCCACTGCGTAGTGGTGGGTGTCGGCGTTGAGCAGCGTGTCCCAGCCACGCTTGCGTTCCAGTGCCATCACCACACCCTCACACCGCAGATGGCGCAGCAGGGCTTTGATGGTCAGCACTGCAAACCTGTGTGCAGAGCAAAGCCCAGGTCATGCTGAGAGCCCTGGTCCCAGCCCCGAGGACCTGGGAGGGACAGGAGGACTGGGGTGGAGCACCTGTTGGGGTTGGTGGGAAGGCTGTGTTGGTCCTGGCATTCCCTCCAGAAGGCGTCGTCCTCCTCCAGCCTATGCACTGCGTTGAAGAACACTTGGAAGAGGCACAAAGAGGCTGGGGAAACACTCCCTCACTGTACGTGGGCACCAGGACAGCTGGAGGATCGTCCACAGCATCACGTTTGCCTGCAAAAGAGTAAAACATCTGGAGACAGCGCTCAGTGCTGAGACATCCACGTGGCAAGGCCCGAGCGCGGGAGAGAGAGGCCAGGGGAGACACAGGAGGAGCACCTGGCCTGGTGCCCCTGAACCTGCCCCTAACCCAGGTTTCCAGCCCAGTGCCTGAGGCAGGGAGATGCAGTGCTGGGGGAGGATGAAGAACTGCCCTGGAGGTGATGCGGGAGTGAGCAAAGTCCAGTTCCAGAAACTCATAGCCAGGGCAAAGACATCTGTTTCATCCCCATCAGAGGTGCACATGCTGCGTGCTGGCCAGCTTCCCAGGACAAGGGCAAGTATCTTGAGCACCGACTGTGCAGTCCGACTTGAGAAGATGATCGTCCTCCACACGGTCGCAGCAGCTCTGCAGGGTCAAACTCTGTGTCAGCAGGGTCTAAGCCACAGTGCCACGGCCTAGGCAGCTCCCAGTCCCAGGTGACAAAGCCACAGCAACCTGAGGAGCAAGGAGGGTGTGTGGGAGCAGGATCCGTGGCTGGCATGCCAGGGCTGGGAAACAGGGGACTCAGAGGCTCCTGGAACTCTCAGCCTGACAGACACCTGGGATGGGCTCTACAGGGTGATGAGCTGGTGAGCCCTGAGCCCTTGAGGCAGGGGGGCCCCATACCTGTCACATGATGGGGCAGAGCACAGCATCACATCCACGGGGTGTGCCTCGGCCAGATCCAGAAGAGTCTTGTCTAACCTGTGCTCAGGAGACACACTGAACATGAGCCACCAGTGGATGCACCTCACGAAGGTTGGCACCTGGAGGGGGCATGGGAGAGATTTGGAGAGCTGCCAACTTGCCCAGCTTCTCCCAAGAAGTGCTTCCCTTCCCACCACTCTGTGCTGGCCTCAAAGGCTGAAGGGGCCCAGCGGATCGGGCGTGAGGGGCTGCACAACCCCTGGGGGGCTTGAGCCCTGGCCACAGACTGCTTACTTTCTTGGGATTGGAGGCACCATTTTCCATGAGCAAATCCAGCAGGACAGCACTGGTTTCAGCATTGTGGAGGTCAGAGTTTGCCGTGCCCCCAGTGACCATGGCAATGGTCTCTTCCCTCCAAATGCACCTGGTGAATTCCAAAACCATCTGCAGGAGAAAGGCAGGAAGAGCAGTGCCATGAGAATGTGCTATGGAGAGCTCTGACAGCAGTGCTCGGCTGAGCAGTGACAGCAGGCCCAGCCTGGGGAGGATGGCCTCAGGTACCTGTGCTGCCCTGCGGAAGCGGCCCCGGGCGCGGTCCTGCTCCTCTGTTCAGTCTTGGCCTGGATCTGGCAAAGAGAGAGCACGGTCAGAGCTGAGGGGCTGCATGAGGGGCCAGAGAACACAGCCCAGCCCTGCACTCCCACATGCAGGGCCAGCCCCGGGATGTCCAGTCCTTGGAGCTGCTGAGGGATCAGCCCTGGCACCTATTCCCTGCTCCCTTTCCCTGGGCATGTCCACAGAGGATGGGATGGGAAGAGGTTCAGCCAGCTGCAGCCACCAGTCCTATGGCCCAGCTCTGTCACTCACCCTCCTGCAGGGGCTGGACCTGCTCCACATCCTCAGGGTG